CTCCATTGGTGTATTATTGGTGCAATGCTGCTCTCTGGACACGGTGTGACTATCTGGCTTTCAATGTGATGGTGTAATCTGGAATTGTCATCTCGTTGTTGCTCATTTTCCTTGAATTTGGTATCGGAGCTGGTTCATATTGCGCTTCATTGGTTCTTCGCAATAGCTGTACGGTGCTTCGCATGAGGTGTGGGGGGCAGTGATAAGGCTTGGGCGTTGAACGTAGCGCGGCCCAGGGTCGAGTGGGCGCGCCAGGAAGCTATGTGGTCACATACGGGGTGTGTGCTGGATGATGAGAGCTCGCTGATGTGGCATATTAAGCTGAGGTGGAACTGCATTCTGCTGTTGGTTGTGCCGAGGCAAAGACCGGTCATCATAAATGCACATCAGGATGAGCTACAGCGGCAATTGGATGAGGCAGATTAGGCAGATTAGAAGCATTAGATGAGTCAACGCTTGACCCTGCGATACGAGCGTTGCGTAACTCACTTCTTTGTGTGGCAGAAGCGCAGGCTGTCCAGCAGGAAGTGCTGGCTGAACTAATGGCAGGCCCGTAGCAGATTCTGGCTGCACTGCAGGCTCCTCGTCCCATGATGAGGCAGCCTCAGTATGCTGTAGCTCCCCCTTCGGGTGCGGGTCCATCAGTGCCGCTGCCGCTGGTAGGGCCTCCATTCTCACCTATGTTTGGCATGCCCCCTCCAGGTGGTTTTGTAGCAACTAGTGGTCTGGTTCATAGAGTCTCAGCCGTACCATCGACGACAGTGGTTACTACAGTCCCACTATCAAGTCAGGCCCAGGTTAGTGTGCTGCAACCTGTTTTGGTGGCTATGCAGGCACTGCAGCAAGCCCCTGGCCCATGCAGCCTATGCAGTGGATGCCCAAAATACCCTTGCTGAGTCCTAAGCCCTTCTCCGGCGACAGGAAGAAGGACGAGGATTTGGATACCTGGGTAAGGACGGTGCCTACCTATGTAAGGCACAAGCTTACCAGGCCAGAGCAAGAAGTTGTTGTGGCTGCCTCCTTTTTAGAGGGGTCAGCAGCCCGTTGGTTGAATGGCCTAGTGCAGCAGCAGGGCTACGGTCAGAACTTCGATGCCTGGGCCCAGACCCAGACATTGGAAGAGTTTGTACGGTCCATGTACAACAGGTGGCATGACCCTCAAGGGGCTCAAAAGGCTACTGATGCAATCAACAGTCTTTGTGCCAGAAGGTACAAGAATGTTCAAGAGCTAACTGACACCGTAGAACGTCTGCTTGTGGTACCTAGTGTGCGCTATGACCAGCAGGTACTCCTCACGGATTACCTTAGATGTCTACCTTCAGAGGTCAGGACAAAGCTGGTAGACGAGGCCTATGTCGAGCAGCACAACTTTGCCTCTCTCAGCAAGAAGGCCTTAGATATAGAGGCAAAATTGGGATCTGCGCATCAGAGTCAGGGAGATGGTAGGAAAAAGAGGCTACCCTAAGATTGGAAAAAGGAAGGTCAACTAATGTTCGTCGACCACGATGGTCAGGCGACAGAAATTGACGATTTCCCAGACCTTGGGGAGGAGACAGAGCATGATGGGGCCAGTGAGACTTCGGATGGGGGAGTCGTGGCACCCATCAAGGAAAAGGCTAGGGGGACCGGGAAGAAGAAGGTAGGCCGGTCTACGGGTCAGGGCGACCAAGGAACACCCGCTTGGGTGAAACTTGGTTTAGAGTACGAGGTTTTGAGGGATCGAGTTGCCAGGGGCACGTGTATGAATTGTGGCAACTTTGGCCACACGTCTAGAACGTGTCGAGGCAAGAAGGTCACCACGAGGGTAGCCTCACCAACGGTGGTGGGACGTTCTTCGAACTCTGGTGGTGCTTCTGCGAGCACTTCGCAGGGAAACACCTCGGGTCAGTAGGAGTTTTAGCCGCTCTTACTCGCGCTGAAGTGGTAACGTTGCCTTCCCCATTTTAGGCGTTGGCCAAGGCTAGTGATCCACGTATCGCCCCGCAGACACATTCAGACCCACCAACGCTCTGTTCGAGAGATGTGTCTGAGGCCCTAGAAGAGTTAGAGACTGAGTGGTCAGGGAAGGACCCCAGGGACTCTTGGGCGATGATCAGTAGAGGTCCAAAGGTTGAACATTTCGTGGTAGAGGTTGATGTAGGTGGCCGCAAAGTTGGCGCCTTTGCAGACATAGGCTCTACACGGAACTTCATCAGTCGTGCTTGTGTGGATAGACTGCGCTTAGGGGACCAAGTGCAGCAGCTTAGCAGAAATGTAGCTTCTACGTTGGCCAACAAGCGACAAATGTTGGTAAAAGATTATGTCAAGGACGTAGTTTGTACCTTCTCCTATGGAGGAGGGGAAGTGAGCCATAAAATCTCCTTCCTGGCTAGCGACGAACTGCCCTTTGACATGCTCCTAGGTATGTGCTACCTCGAGGTCGCGCAACCACAATTTGACTGGGATAGAAAGGTGTTGATTCACAAATTGCCCAACGGTAGATCTGTTAGATTGCAGAAGTTTAAAGCTAGCAGTCTGATAGAAAACTACGGGTGCATGTGTGCATCATCTTTTCATAACTATTATAAGCAGAATCGCGAGGAGGGCATGTATCTAGAATTTGTCTCTGAGAAAGGGGAGGTCGTAAAAACACCCCCAGAGATAGAATCAGTCGTCACTCAATATTCATACCTTTTTTAGGAGCCCACAGGCGCCATAGGCGTGGTAGAAAGGGAGGTTGTCCATGCAATAGAGGTTGTCCCGGGTAGTAAGGTGCCTAGAGGACGAATCTATAGGATGTCTCCTGCGGAGTTAGATGAGCTCTGCCGCCAGCTCACGGAGCTCACAGAGAAGGGATGGATTCGGCCTAGTACCTCCCCTTACGGCGCTCCAGTCCTATTCGTACCGAAGAAGGGAGGTACCTTGAGGATGTGCATTGACTATAGGGGCCTCAATGCCATCACCGTTAAGAACGCGGAGCCCCTACCCCGCATCGACGACCTCTTGGATAGAGTGCAAGGATGCCGGTACTTCACCAAGATAGATTTGAAGTCCGGATACCATCAAATTGCCATTAGACCTGAGGACCAGCACAAAACCGCATTTCAGACCAGGTACGATCTGTACGAGTTTGTGGTGATGCCCCTTGGCCTATGCAATGCACCTGGTATGTTCCAGCGCGCGATAAAAAGGATTTTTCATGATTACTTAGACAAGTTTATTGTCGTGTACCTCGACGATATTCTTATCTTTAGTAGACTGTAGAGGAGCGAGCTGAACACTTGAAAATAGTGCTAGGTCTCCTAAGACAGCACCAGTACAAGGTTAACATGGAGAAATGCGAGTTTGGTCGCACCAAGATCTTGTACTTGGGTCATTAAATCTCAGCAGATGGACTGAGGCCGGATGATGCCAAGGTGACCAGCATACGTGACTGGCCTAGACCTCAGACTGTTACTGAGGTCAGATCGTTTTTGGGGATGACGGGCTATTATCGTTCGTTTGTGAAGAACTATAGTACTATAGCTTCCCCACTAACAGATCTAACTCGACTTGACACCCCTTGGGAATGGACAGAAGAGTGTGAGGAAGCCTTCAAGAAATTGAAGTATGCTTTAACACACTATGAAGTCCTCAAGCTCCCGGATGCTGACCAGCCCTTTGTCGTGACCACAGACGTCATCCAATATGGCATAGGCGCGGTCCTTGCACAAAAGGAGGGCAAAAAGTTGAGACCTATCGAGTATATGAGTAAAAAGATGCAATCTCAGAAACTAACCAGGTCCACTTACGAGCGTGAGGTCTATGCCCTATATAGAGCGCTGGTACATTGGAGACACTATCTCATTGGCAGATTCTTCTATGTGAGATCTGACCATGAGACCCTGCGTTGGATTAAGACACAGTCGGTACTCTCCGACGCACTCAAGCGATGGATACAAGTGATAGACATGTATGACTATCAACTTGATGCAATCAAGGGTGAGTACAACAAAGTAGTTGATGCACTATCTCGTCGGGCAGATTATCGGGCGCACTAGTGACTGAATTTGGCATATCCAGCGACTTAACTCTATCATTGGTGGATGCCTATCAGCAAGATCCAGTTATGTCTGAGATCATCCGTAGATTTCAAACCAAGGACAAAAAGACTTTGGATGAATTTACGATGGTAGACGGCTTGCTGTTTCTTGTGAAGGCAGGGAATAAAAGATTGTGTGTTCTCAGTAGTGAGTCTTTGCGTAGTTTATTTTTTAGGGGAATGTCATGATGCAACTGGTCATTTTGGCTATAAAAAGACTTCAGCTAACTTACTGCAAAAGTTTTGGTGGCCCACTATGATGCAAGATGCAAAAAAGTATGTTGAAACTTGTCAGGTCTGTCAAAGGGACAAACCTAGGACTCAGGCTCCGCTTGGGCTCATCAAACCCTTGCCGATTCCTGAAGGACCTGGTCAGAGTGTGTCCATGGACTTCATGGATACTCTTGTGACCAGTAAGTCTGGTAAAAGGCACATCTTCGTAATAGTGGACCGCTTTACTAAGTATGCAAGACTGATCGCTATGCCAGAAACTGCTAAAACGGACTATGTCATCAAACTGTTTCTAGATAACTGGGTCAGGGATTTCGGACTACCTACGTCAATAGTAAGTGACAGGGATGTAAGGTTTACCAGCGAACTGTGGTAGTCGACAGCTGAACAGATGGGTACCAAGCTCCAAATGACGTCAGGAAATCACCCTGAGTCAAATGGCCAAGCAGAACAGATGAACCGGGTAGTACAGCACCTGCTTCGGCATTATATTAAGCCAAGTCAAGATGACTGGGACGAGAAGTTACCTCTCGTCGCCAGCCTGTACAACAATGTCGTGCACAGTACTACTGGTATTAATTGGTTGGAAACCTAGAACTGCACTCGACTTTCTGCTACCAGAAAGGCAACCCACTGCAGCACCTGGCAGCATAGAATTTGCTGTTAAATATGAGCAGATGCTTCAGCAGGCCGTTGAACACATTAGGAAGTCTCAGGAGGCTATGATCGCATCTGAGAATAAACACAGACGGCCCTCTAACTTTCAGGTAGSTGATAGAGTCTGGGTAAAGTCATCTGAACTGGGTCAGGAAATGGGGATTTCACGAAAACTGATGCCACAGTACTTTGGGCCCTGGGAGATCTTGGACATTGTAGGGGATCAACCGGATGGACCTTCATACGTGATTCGCATTCCTGCGCACTTACGCACTTACCCTGTGTTCCATGCCTCCAAGTTGGCACCTTTCGCTGCCACTGACCAGTTTCCCTCAAGGAGATCAATGTTGCCCCCAACCATGGATGGGGAGGTGGACATCGACGAGATCGTGGAGCATCAAGTGATGCCTGTTCCTCGACCATCAGGCAGAGGGCACCCTCGAAAACTGAGAATGCAGTATCATGTGAGATTCAGACATCATCTGGATCCCAAGGAAGATCGCTGGTTCACACGAGAAGAACTCTTGAGAACAGCACCTCAAGTGATTGCGGGCTATGAAAGAGAACTGAGAGGAAAGATGCCTGCAGAATAAGAAGACTTCTCAGAGGACTAACGAAGTAAAGGAGGAGGGAATGCGAGGATTTGGGTCCTCGGCAGGCCTAAGGGGCCCCGGTTGCAGTGGTGCCCGCCCTAAGTGAAGGCGGGCCTAATTTATCACAAGAGGCCTT